ATCTGGTAAGGACGCCTCGCCGGCGCTCACCTCAGGGGACACACCGAGAAGCGCATACTTAAGGAGGACTGAGTCGGAGCCAGATGAGATGGAGAGCCTTCACATTCGCATCTGGCCTTGAGAGTGCTCAGGGCCCCCAGAAAGAGCTGGAGGAGCTAAGCACAAAAACAGCATCTGGCCCGCTGCTCTCTGGGCCACTGGAAGGAATGGCTTGTGACCATGTTAAGCAACTTGAAAATCACCAGGATGAGGCACCTACTAAACACTGTATTAAAGTCTATGTCTTTCCAAGGAGTACTTCTAGTAAAGTGATGGGACACACAGTGCCTACTGAAATGAGAGTTGAGAGTTTTTGGTCTAAACTAAAAAGACTTGTTGGACCTTAATACCTGCAACAACACCACAAACACAATGAATTACATCATAATTACTCAGTACTGTATGTGCCACTTCACTTACTTCATAAAAGTATCCTACTATTTGTCATATCGTTGCGTGTTTTACACAATGTAAATCAAGACTCAATTAACTTGCTATTTTCACCTGAGCTCTTTTGCCACAACGCCTTCATGTCAGCACCATGCGAGTTTATGTTGTTTATTAGGTATTCAACCTGAACTTTTAAAAACGTCAGACTGTTTTCACATTTTCACCACATCCCATCTTTCCTTCAATTAGATTCATAATTAGAGGTCAGGAAAGAGGAAGACAAATTACTCAAGTTGAGAAAAAGTATGACTATAAATCTGCATATAATCTACTAGCACTATATATATGTGTAACTGCAAACTTCCCACTTTCCAACTCAATTTAACATTGAGATGAATGTATAACAGAGTAATAAGGAGCAAATAAGATGAATGATATCTGGATGCTCTAAAATGGCCCTGAGCTTAAGAATTCATGGAACTAAAAATGATGGTGGTGCAAAGGCTGTCTTAAAGTTTTTCTTGTGCTTTTAAAGATTGAGTCAGACAAAGGAGGAACAGACCAAGCAGAGGGCTGAGTGAAAGAGACAGGAAGTGAGGATAGCTGTAGGGAAAGTTAGAGTGCACAACACAATAGAGAGGATGAGAATACATGTGGAATGAGACGATGGCAGAGGTACAGGTTAGGCTGAGAAAGAACAGAGGGATCTTGCACTGGGCAGAGTGTTAGCAATAGGTTCATAGTCAGTTCACTTAAGAGAAAAACAAAAACTTTTTGAGGATCTACCACGACATACAAAATATATTGGAGAAACTATATCAAGTCACTCAAGAAATGTTGTGGCTATAGCCCAATCTTATCAGACCTCTGAAGCTAAGCAGGGCAGGGTAAGGTTAGTACTATGATGGGAGTCCTCTGGGAACACCAAGTGCCACGGTGGGGGGCTGCGGCTGTAAAGTGCTTAACTGTAGTTATGTCCTTCACCCACGTTTCCACATGCTGGTGGCTGCATGAATGACTAATGGTAGTCAGAGGGGCCAATGGCACATAATGATTGCCTCACTTCTGTCAGTGTGCCCCAGGGCAGCTGTGGCTACAATAATAGTTCATCACCACTGTGTATTAGGGGTGTGACGATATATCGCGATATCAATATATCGCGATACTTTCTCCCGCGATTCGATTATCGATATGCATTTGCCAAGTATCTATCGATTTTTAAAAATTAGTATCAATACTTAATAAATGGCTACATTACGCATCTCCATTCTATTTATCATGAAATAAAGTGTATTTTTTCACTTAACATTTTTCTTTTATTTATGCCATAAACTGGCATATGGTATATTTCAGACCAATATATCAATAATCGTCAAATCGTGATAAAATCGTTATCGTGATATTATCGTTATTGTGATATTATCGTTATCGTGATATTATCGTTATCGTGAGCTTTGTATCGTGTATCGTATCGTATCGTGAGGTACCCTTAGGTTTCCACCCCTACTGTGTATGGAGTGAAAGAATAATGATGAAGTGTCCAAAAAAGTGCTATAAAAAACTGCACTATTATTATTAATAATAATACAGTTATTAAAGCTGGAGTACCACTTTGGAAACCACAAAACATAGTTACATGTAAGGAAAATGCATGTAATTGGTTGCCAGCTCTCAAATATGTGTGGTTCTTCCAACTCTCAGCCAATCAGGCATGTAAAAAATCCTGGAAATGATCATTCATGCTTTTATTTCAACAAGACTTGACTATTGCAACTTTGTTTTTACCTGCTTGAATAAGTCTGCACTCAACCAACTTCAAATTGTTCAAAATTCTGCTGCTAGACCTTCGAGGTGCCCCTCGAAGGTCCCATATCACTCCTGTTCTGTCTGTTCTTCATTGGCTCCCAGTAAAATTCAGGATTGATTTTAAGATTTTAGTGCTGACCTTCAGAGCCTTAAATGGTCAGGCCCCCCAGTACATCCTGAACCTTTTGAGCCTGTACTCCTCTGGCCGCACTCTCCGGTCCTCTAGCCAGAACCTGCTTGTGGTCCCCAAAACTCATTATAAGACTCGAGGGGACCTGTCTTTTCAGTCTGTTGTCCCCAGACTGTGGAACGCCCTGCCCCTGTCCCTACGTCTGGCCGACTCTGTGGACTCTTTTTAAAAAGGCTTGAAGACTTATTTATTTAAGAAAGCTTTTAGTTGAATGGGTTCTCACTGACGTCATTTTAAGTACATGTGTGTAAATGTATTTTATATTGTTTCGTCTTTGTCCACTGTCCTGTACAGCACTTTGTGATTTTTATCTGTGAAAAGCGCTTTATAAATAAACTTTACCTACTTACTTACTTACTTACATGCAGTGTCCGTTACACTGGACACTCTTTGGTTGTTACTATAACAAACAACATTACAGGTACAGGGCAAACAGGGCGAATATGACATATTCAAACTGGATGAAAACAACACAAATGTATGGGGAGCAACGGGCTCAATTTCATTTGTGTGTACTGTTTACGTGGGTTTCTGTGGGGCAGGAAAGGGGTTACATGTGACGAATACTCAACCTGACATTCAACCTGTCAGCTAACAGACAGGAACATGAAACAGGAAATTGCTTCTGGGACAGCCAATCAGAGAGAGTTCTTGGTAAACAGGAAGAAGCCGTCAGAGTGGTCCTGTCAGGTGTCAGTCACTGCTACAATGACCTGCCCCTGAGCCTCAGTGAAAATGTCAATCATGGCCTAATCCTTCTCTGGAGAAATGTACTTAGGTCTCATACATCTCCTGGCACAAATCCATTTTGGGCTTTATGCAATTTATTACAAGTTTGCTCATACCCAAAGGGGAAATGGTTTATACCTTTGGTCTGTCAAGAGGAATGCTCTAACCATAACAAGCTCAATCACCAACATTAAGTCTAGCATTTTGTCATTACCCGAAAACGTCTATCAGTATTGGGATCATTATTAAGTCATTATTATGAATAAAAAGCACATTGATAGTTAACTAGCCAGCACAGCTTAGACGTTTAGAGACACTGGACTACTTTTATGGTAATATTTTAAAGACCTAATTGAATTTACTATAATGAATCATCATTTAAAAATTACATAATTAAAGCATTCAGTCGTATCGAACAGCATAACCTTTAAACATTTATTTATGTGGCAGTGAGAAATGTCAAGGCTAACAGCAGCTGAAGCTGACAGACTTTATATGTGACACGCTCATTGGGTGTTGGTCGCACACTCCCATCTGCCCCTGCATTGCAGAGGAGGGGCTGACAGTGGTCCTTGAGTCTTGTCAAACAGACATGGACATGTGAGAGAGTAGGGCACTTAAAGGCTTGATGCACACAAACACAGCCTCATGAGAATGGCTCTGCTGATGTATACAGGCTCGCCTCATGACAGGACTAAACGTGCCATTATTCCTTTGTTTCCATCTGCTCCGCTACACCTCCGTCACTTGAGTTATTTATCTGTCCAGCCAGCCATTCTCGAGCTGACCCACAATTACCATTTTGAACACATGATGACAACAGACAAAGGAAAATACATTCAAACAATCGACAAAACATAAAAAACAACACTGTATAAAACTAGAACAATGTTAGGTATGCACATTGTGTAATGCAGAACTGAATTATAGCAGAACATTTATATTAGAGACGGATTAGGGAATTAAGTTTTTTCCTATTTAATTTTTAAGGATAGTTTATCTGCGTGAATGAATAATTGATGTCGGCAAAGTAACATGTTGACTTCCAAAATGATTATCCCAACACTTTTATAGTTCTTGGGAATAAACAACAACAGTGTTCTACATCGTCATTGTCTTTACAGGTACAACATGATCAGAAGAAGACGCTACAAGGAAACAATTATCACGTCCCCTGTGGGATTAGAATCATTGGAATTTTCAAAATCAACAGCTCTTCTGCTTCACTAATCAGTTAGTGTTAGCATCTGTCACATTAAAACGCCCTTTTTGAATTAATGTCTTAATGACTTTTGGAGAAGTATAAACAGCTGCAGTGAGAAATAGGAATAGATCACCAAATCAAAGAAAGAACTCAAGGAAAATCTTGGAATGAAGTATTTGTGTGTATCTGCCTGAAAACATGACTCAATGGATTAGTGGCTTAGTCAATCAAATTTAGCTTTTGTCAGCTGTTTTACTTATCTTTTATTTTTTGGATTACAAGAACTTCTATGTAAAAACTGGTACTTCCTTTAACATTCAAGCCAGATCAAACATTTAATTTTCACGTTTAATCAATATGGTTTCAGTTGTTTATACCTTAAAAGTTGATTAGTCATATATAGTGTAAATACTTTTGTAAGTACTTTGTATATACTTTTTTTCAGGTAATGTAGACATTTTTAGAGCATTTTCTGCCCTTTTTTAGTCAACTAATAAATTGACTCTGTTTAGTCAATAAATAATGTCTTTGGTCCACTACAGCCTTACCTATTTTCTATTATGTTACTACATATGTGCATCCCATGTCTAGCTACAGGCTATAGACCTCCTCTACACCTGCTCATAAGTAAATGGACCTTACCATATGCTGGGTGCTTCTGTCCCGCTGATTTCCAGGAAATCATATTTGTCTTCTAAAAAAAAGTCGTTAAAGACCAGTGCGATGGTGTCCCCCGGCTCAGCGAGGATGGACCATGTACAGTCCAGATTGTTGTCGTACTCAGTGGGATATCCTGGACTGGTGATGGAGCCCGCTGTGCCTCTCAATGTCCCGCCACATGCCCCCTCCGCTGCTCATCACACAGAAACAAGACAAAGAAATGACAAGATGTTTAGTGTCTGGTGCCACATATCAGCCCCATTACATTCACAACTCTGACATTACTGTAAATTAAAAAGGAAAAGCTCTTTTCCATTTTGGATTTTTTTTACACAAACAAACTGACTAGTCTTGGATGTAAAATAAGTATCAACTTATTTTTGACATTGACATTTGGCTTGAGAAATGCATGTAGTATTACAGTGCATGTAGGAGGCAACAGGACTTTGCGTGTGTTTCACCTGATTTTGAAAGCCTATTCAGAGCAGCTGATCTGTGTGATGAATTTTGAGAAGTTGTTGAGTACAAAGGAAACTAATGAACCATTAGAGAGGCTTCATAAAAATAAAAATAAATCAAGAATAATTTGATATTTAATAGGCTTCACTTTGCTCCAAGGATAATCAATATTCCACTGTCTCCCGTATATCCCTTGACTGTGACCTCCAGGTAAGGTCTCTATATTCCCATGAACCAAACTAATATAATGGTCGTGATGTACAATCTCTCACGGCACACACTCTTGGGTCACAACAAATCTCTCACGGCGTACACTCTTGAGTCATGGGGTACTCTAAAACGTATAACTTAAGTACTTCCGATTACACATTTTTGAACTATATATAAAAAAGATCTACAGTACAACAAAGATTCACAAGCACAATGCAAACCATTTGAAACATGTTGGGACAAGCACACAGTTGTAATGAACATCATTTGAGGGCAGAAAGGCTCAGAAGTCATCTGAGACGACAAGGCAGTCTTGCCTGTAGTGCATAACATGAGGTGAGGCTGAGCACAGACTGGTTGGTGCGATGGTCATGTTTGTGCTCATATTCACTGATAGTATGGATACAAATTTAATTAAATACTGTAATAATTTATACTATTGGCAACATACACTGGATTTGGTATGAATAAATGCACATATTCATTCAAATGAGGTTGCCGTTGAAGTGTAAAAATGTTTGTGTAATTTATTTGAGACAGAAGGTAACAGCAACTACGTCCAGCAAATTCACTTTACTTGTTGGATAATTGTATCCATGGATACAATTTGTATAATCCATGTTGACATCCCGCCTGTCACAATAACTGATTATAATAGACAATATATTGCTTCAGAAATGTATTCCGACAATAGCATGGAAACTGATACAAATACAATACAGCATCCCAGTGGCGCTTTTTTTTTTTTTTCAATTTATCTATTTCATTAAAAGCATTTGCAAGAAAATTAATAACAGAATATAGAAATATGTTGTCTTATTGAACCATCTACATCTAAAATACAAAAAAGTTGTCCATTTATGTAAGTAAAATTTACTGACCATGAACATTGAAGCCAAATATATATTTAATATCAGTTATTGACCAATAAGTTGATATAGTAATTATTGTTTCAGGCCTAGAGCTAGCCCTGCCTTAAATCACACAAGATGGCATAGTTTACCTCTGCAGAATGGAGAGGGGAAATCCCACAAAGCACCGCTGCCCGCCGATACGATACATGTGAGGATGTTGTGTCCTTCCAGCACATAGCCCGACTCACAGCTGTAGCGGATCTTGTCCCCGATGTTGTAGCGCGAACCGTGGATGACTCCCTTCGGGATGAGGCCGGGGGTTCCACATGTATGACTGGGCAGCACTGAGGACATGAGCAAGACAAAAACAGAATGTAGTCAAATATTAAGTGACATTTTGGGCCATATGAACCTGCAAGGGACGGGCCTCCTGCTGCTGCCCAGAGTCCAGACAAAACATGAGGAGGCAGCATTTAAAGGAATAGTTCACCGTTTTTACATACTGACATATGTTCTTACCTTACCTTAGACTAGTTAATATGTACCTGTCTGGTCTTAGTCCGTGCGCTCTGTCATGCAAACGGAGCAAAAACGGGAGAACAAACGCAGCCTCCTCTGTATATTGTGTAGGACCAAAAGGTAGCTCCCGCTAGAAGCTACCAAACTCTTCCAAGTGTTCCCTATTAAATGTATATAGTTACGTGACGTGTTACACTGCAAAGTATAGTAACACAGAAATGTAACAGTCGATTTTCTCAGCGGAAAAAACGGGTACTATATTGTGAGGCGTAGTAATCTGAGGAGCGCTACGTCCGCGTACTAACTTCTCTCCGGAGACTTCTCTCTCGCTGCTACTGTGTGTACTACAAGTCACGCTGCTTCTATTGACGTAAGTGAGCGAGAGAGAAGTCTCCGGAGAGAAGTCAGTGCGCGGACGTAGCGCTCCTCAGATTACTACGCCTCACAATATAGTACCCGTTTTATCCGCTGAGAAAATCGACTGTTACATTTCTGTGTTACTATACTTTGCAGTGTAACACGTCACGTAACTATATACATTTAATAGGGAACACTTGGAAGAGTTTGGTAGCTTCTAGCGGGAGCTACCTTTTGGTCCTACACAATATACAGAGGAGGCTGCGTTTGTGCTCCCGTTTTTGCTCCGTTTGCATGACAGAGCGCACGGACTAAGACCAGACAGGTACATATTAACTAGTCTAAGGTAAGGTAAGAACATATGTCAGTATGTAAAAACGGTGAACTATTCCTTTAAGATTGATGCATCTAAAAACAGTCTTCCTGAAAATGTGAGACAGGCTTCTCCTACGACAAAGTTTAAATCCAGTTAAAAAAAAGTTTCTCTCTTTAATGCACTGTGATTATGTAGTGTATGCTTTGTACGATTGATACCTGTTTCTTCCAACAGAGATGCCATTATGACATTGTTTGAAATAACACTCAAGTATGCTTTAAAATATGCTTTGAAAACTTTTTGTTTACTGTGAGAAGATTAAGACATCCATTATTTGCCGCACAGTGATGAAATGTCAGTGTTGCATCACCGGTTACAGAACAGTAGGAATGAGGAGCACACGACACAAAGTCAGTGGCTGTGAATATTAAGTATGGCCAGACTCGCCTCTGCACAGATATAACTTGTAACATAGCTGAGTGAAGTCAAATGCTTGTTTTTCTATTTTTAAAGAGAAAGTTTAATGACAAACTGTATACATATACTGTAGATGAAAGCCAAAACTATAAACTACTGTATAGCCAGGACTCTCACCATTATTATTATTTCTGCATTCTATTGTATTATATCATAAGGGAATATTGAAGTGTGTGTGTGTGTGTGCGTGTGCGTTTGGGCATGTGTGCGTGTGTGTGTGCGTGTGCGTTTGTGCATGTGTGTGTGAGTGTGTGCGTGTGTGTGTGAGTGTGCGTTTGTGCATGTGTGTGTGTGTGTGTGCGTGTGTGTGTGAGTGTGTGCGTGTGCGTGTGTGTGTGAGTGTGCGTTTGTGTGTGTGTGTGTGTGCGTGGGCGTGTGCGTTTGTGCATGTGTGTGTGTGCGTGTGTGTGTGAGTGTATGCGTGTGTGTGTGTGGGTGTGCTTGCTCTTTAGGTGGGTATCACCAGTTAGGCAAAACACCTTTAAGATATGTTGTCAATAACATACTCTGGACAAGGATTTGTGTATTGTATTTTTCAAGTTCACAGACAACCATGTCCAAAACACAGTTTAACTGTGTGTACTGAATCTACTTTACCTAGCCTCACTGTGTACTTTGAATTACTATGCTGGATTAGATCAACTGGAGCGTGTTAACTTGGGTGTGTAATGCGGATCCAATCGGCCAGCTGCATTAGTGCCTTGTGTGTCTATGCAAAGCGCCGTGCTCAGTCAGTCACTCGCGTGTTTGTGTACGCTGTTCCAATTAAATGCTAGCATGGTAATTAGACAAAGACACACCATGAGACCCTGAGAAGTAGGACACAGGGGTGGCTGGGGAATGACAAAACAGGAGAGAGAGCGAGAGAAGAGAAAACGGCATCTACAAAAGAGTGGGCAGAAAAGGTAGAGAGATAACCCGGGAAGCAGAGTAATTGCGGCCGCACTAAACATGTATAATTTAGTTTAATTGACTCATTATTTGGAACATCTATAGTCATGCATCACAGGCCAGTTACTCACACTTAGCTGACCGTGCAGTCCTTTGAGTCTAGTTTTAATGCTACAAAAATCAAAGGGCTAAGGGAAGGGAGGAAGAAGAGGGAGGAGACGAAGGGGTTAGGAAGCTACAGAAAGATGAGAATATAAAGAGCGACCTAGCGTGGGAGCCAAGTCATTAGTCACACTTATATCTGGTGACCACACTGTACCGGGGATGGTTTTAACAAGACCTCCAGATGCACAAAGGTACATCCTTTTTAAAAGCCTCATCTGTTCATGTGTATAAGAGACAGGATGGAGAGATCAAATAAACAAAAAAAAGACCGCATCAACCTCTAAATCCTAAGGCAACACAAAACTTCTACCAAAGAGTGAATTGATTGTCATATGTATTTGTCTTACGGATTTGATAAATCCCTATCCACCTCCAATGGAAAAGACGACAGGAAGTAGAGTGCATGTAAATCATTCTAAATATTCCATTCTCGCTAATACTTTTGAGGTATTATTCTGCAAGTATTGAATATTTTGTTTTCCAATTTAGTTTTCAATAATGTCAATTATAAGTCAATAATGGCACCAAGAAATGTGTTTGACTATTTCAACACTTATACCTTATATACTCTATACTTTGTGCTTGATTATCTCCATTGGGTTAGGTTTTTTTTTTTATGTTAAACTATGTTAGTGATACTATTTATCAAACTAGATTTTGATACTAGAAAAATTAAACTTGATACCTGTTTCAATACCAGAGCAATTATTTATGAATATCATTTTTCAACAATACATTTTAATTTTCCCAAAAAATTCTGAATACTTCCTATGGGGCAATAACATTATCGATTTGTATAAACTTTTCTCATATGTTTTAAAATTCTTAAAAAAATTCGAACAGAATGTTTAGTTCATGTAATTATATTTAGTATCTTGTTTGGATAGCTATAATACTTCTTGATAACCCTTCACCACACGTTTTGTGACCTTCTTCAGACACTTTTTCCATGCTCAAAAATATCCATTGGGGCTGAGTAAAACAGTGAAGGCTGTAGTAAAATTGTCTAAAATTAGTTTTGAGTACTTTTTTGCTGAAAAGCAGAGTGAGACTACTCCACGCTTTATTTTGTGTCAGCTTTCTGTAAAAGTCCCAGATATTTTCCGGCCCAGTGGCCTGAGGGAGTTTAAGAGAGGCCATGTGGAGTTTGAACCATCAATTTCTCAATAATTTGTGCAGAGTGGCAGAGAGTACTTTCACTTCTGCCATGTCACCAGAATAACTTAGCCGCCCGTCACTAATCTCACTTTGTAATGTTGCGTCCTGGGCTTTACCTGCTGCTTTTGAGCGTGGGATACTCAAATGTAGTAAGGTAGAAAAGGTTTCAATAATAGTCCTCTGAACAATGTTCTAGGGAACGCCTGGCCTTGTTTTGTTCATTTGTTGCTTTATTAGGAAGGTATCAGCAGAGTGTTAATGGTTTTTGAGAGATCTGAATTTTAAATACACTTCTGAACAACTGAAGGTAGCCATTTATTCTCTAATGTTGGAAGTCACTGTAGATAGCACCTTTAACAATGTCATCAAGAATCACAGTGAAAATAAATATTTGCTTTAGTGTGTCAACCTAATAGAATAATCAAATGTTTGTTTTTCACAGATCCTGTGTCTTTCGCTTCGCGCATGAACGGTGTTGTTCTTAATTTGGGTTAAAGTGCCTCTACACTAAACATCTCTGATTTTCACATTGCCACTGGAGTTGTAAAGCAGATCCAAATCTGCACACAAACCAAAGAAGCTCTAAGTGCATGTTGGAACTTGTGTGCACATGTACGTTATAAACAATGCACAGTTTTCATGCAGAAATTATTTGTAGTAACAGGAGGCTGGTCCATGACCTCTAGTTCTGCGCCTCCAGACCCTCGGACTCACTCTGGCCCAAGGAGCGTAGGAGAACAGGCTGCTCCACAGAAACATTGGCTTGGCTATCTAGTTTGGTTTTCTCATTTCCAAGTCCAAACCATCAATTAGCTTTGGAAGGAAAAAAATCAAAGATGGCGGTCAACTGGTGAGAGTATTAGCATGAGATAAATGATTTCCTTTAAGAGGCAATTGTAACATTTTATATATGTATTCTATTATTGCAGTTTACTAATCGTGCATTCAGGCAACCATTAATCCATTTTCAACACAGTCTCTATTGTTTGGTTGTTATATTCACAGGAAATAGGGACCAAAAACACATTAGCAAATTTTTCCGATTTGAGCTTCTTTGCACTTGCTTCCTGTTCATTTTAGAATTGATTTTAAGATTCTTCTGTTTTGAACGGACTGGCCCCACAGTACGTCTCGGACCTCATCCAGATTTATCACCCCCCCCCCGCGCGCTGAGGACCGAGGGCCAGCTCCAGCTCGTGGTGCCAAAGTCCAGACTTAAAACCCGGGGAGACAAGGCTTTCTCTGTGGCTGGACCAAAGCTGAGGAACGCTCTGCCCCCCCACGTCAAAACAGCTCCCTCGTTTGGAATGTTTCAAGTCTCGTCTCATTTTTACTCTTTGGCTTTTAACCGCGTGAGTTGTGTGGTCCTCTGTTTTATATCTTATTTTTTTATTTTATGGTTTTTAATTTTACTTCAATCTCTGGGATATGGGAAAACTAGTTTATTGTTGTTTTCATTGTTTTTTACTTC